CAAATACCAAGTTAACCTAATAAAGAGTTCTGTCCTCTGGGATATCATGCCATGTAATCTGGAAGTCAGCTGACGTTTCAGAGGAACATGTTGCCTGCTTCTTCNAAAAAAAAAAAAAAAAAAAAAAAAAAAAAAAAAACAGCATGAAGCAGACAATGAACACAGCTCTCTCAAACTTTACAAGTGCTTAGTAAACGTATGTAATTTTTCAATTGTTTTTATGTAACACCTGATAAATATCTTTGAGAAGTAGAGAATTAATATTACTCCATTATAGGCAGTAGTGATACCATCTAACAAACTCTTTAACAACCGACTTGGTATTACTTAATTTAAATACAAGGGTTGGAACTTTAATAGTGGCAACATTGCTGTAGAGACGCCATGCAACGGAACCAAATAATGTCACTTATACCACACGTTAGTTACATACCTACCTTACCTCAGAGCAAATGGACTCTCCCTTCCCACATCACGCGCATGCACAGGAACAAGAAGAACAGAGCCTCATGTTAGCTGGCGGTCTAATGTAGTGTTGTCACGATGTTTTTGAAACGGGAACAATGGAGTTGGATAAAGATTGAATGTGCTAGAGGCTGTACAGCATGACAGTGTCATCAAGGTCTTCAAGAGACATGCGGGGAATCTGCATTGCCTTACAGAACATTAGCAAGGTGGGTAAAAGCCTTCAACGATGGACGCCAAAATGTGGCAGACATGCGTTGGCCAGGTTGTCCTAGTGTCATGCTCTTTCCATGTTACCGGAGAGTGATTGACGCCACACGATTTGTGAGCTGGCCCGAGAGACAGGATTAGTGCATATGACTGTGCTTCACATTCTGAAGGAATGTCTGGGCATGAGAAAAATTGCATCACAATGGGTTCCTCATGATTTGACGGAAATGCAGAAATGGCTACGATAAGACACTGCTCGTAACCACTTGGAGCTATGAGCGTGAAGGAGACGCTTTCTTATGCCATATCATTACACTGGATGAGACATGGGCCAAATCGTACGAACCACAAATGAAACGCCAATCGAACAAATGGCGTCATTATGAGTCACCACTAAAATCAGAAGTTCGTCAGAACCCCAGCAATGTGAAAGTTATGGTGATTCTCGTGTACAACTGTGATGGTGTTATCCTAACCCATACCATTCCCTGACAGAAGACCATCAGTGCGCAGTATTACTGTTCATTTTTGGAACACAACCTGCGACCAGCTTTGAGAAAGAAGCGGCGACACTTTCTGCAGAACCCACCTATCATTTTGCAGGACAATGCTCGGCCGCATGCAGCACAAGCTGTGGCTGATTTGTTCAGTCGATGGGGCTGGGAAGTGCTATACCATCCACCATACTCCCCAGACTTAAGCCCTTGTGACTTTGACTTGATCCCGAAGATGAAGGAACCACTTCATGGCATTCGCTTCAGAACTGTTCCAGAGATTCTTCATGCAGTAGACCGCTCCATTCGAACTGTCAACACAACAGGTGCTGCTAAAGGTATCCTACGACTTCCACATCACTGGCAATGGGTTGTACACAACGCTGGTGACTACATTGAAGGACAGTAAAACTTCGAAACATGCCTCTATTTTGTATCAATTGTAAATAAATAGTTGCCACTATTAAAGTTCCAACCCTCGTAATTGTTTTTAAACTTTGTGGGTCCAATTCTTATGCTTCCTAAGTCTTATCATTGCAGGGCAGGCACTTGTTTTGAAATACTGGAAAAGAGGTGTGTTTATGATGTGGCCCATTGATGGGTACATAAGGTACAATGTGGCCTCTCAGTGATTTGAAGTTGGACAACCATCTTCTAGTATGTGACAGCCAAGGTTAGGAAGTGGACGTATGTGGAGTCTTTAGAAGTTGGCAGAACTGTTATTGATTACAACTGAAATTATGCAATATTTGGATATATTTCTTTATTTTATACATTCTTCATTTCATTACTTTTATTTACAAGTTTGGAACATGAAGATTGGTGGTACTTTTATGACTGAAAAAGAAAGTCAGCCCATTGATTTTTAAACAGAGCTGTGCTTTTGTACTATTAAATTAAGCATCTTAATCATTCTCTTCGACATTTGCACTGTAAAAAAAATTATCATACATCAGAACTCTCACATGATTAATGTCCAGTGAAATGTATAAATAAACATACACAGTATGAAATATATAATACTGCACATACAAATGATTTAAATATAGTACAAAAACAAAACTTTCAGTTAACATGCACAAAACTTGAACTACATGACAAAAATTAATGTTGCACACACCTCGATGTAGAAATCTTCAGACATGGCTTATACTTTTTTACTTAAGATTTTTGTCTTGACTAGAGCCAGCAATTTGAAGGAAACAGTTCTTTCAAGAATTACCATAGCTGTGAATTCATTCTTAATATTTTAAGTGACTTCTGAGATTGAAACTAGTACTTTTGGAATTCATAAAAATTTGTCTGGACTTTTTGTGTAGTACCATTGAAGGTTTCATCACAGCCCAAGAAACTGTTCAGCATATTATCTGGCAATTTTTGTTGCATATCATAACCCATGATGCCATATATTATAAAGAAATGAAAATAAACCTATGTCCAAACTGATGAAACTTAAAAGCTAAAACTAGCACTGCTTAAGTTTTATATTTATTGTGTCTCATTCAAGGCATTTTGTTTTCTTATTCTTTATCATCCAGGAATAGGGGATCTTAATCAGCTGGCAGCTGGATTTTAACTTGATTGTATTCATATTGTAAACACTGTCATGCTAGATGTACTGAGGCCTGCTGAACCTATGCATGCAGCATCATAGTCATGTGCTGTGTCACAGTATTATGATGCACTGATAATAAGAGGTTAATAGACTTACTGTTTGATATTATAATATCAGTTTTTCTACTGATATTACTGCATTTTTTCTTTAGTGCAGTTTTTATGAGAGAAGAAAAAGAAGAGTGGAGAATTATTTAATTTTATGTCTATCTTTCAGATATAAAAATTTACAATGAATTATTCTGTTAATATTAATTACTGTTAAGATGCATTTCAGTCTTATTACCAATTGTAGTTCTGTGCTACCTAAGCCAGTGTCACAGAATATCAGCAAAACTTACAGTGTGGGGAAAAAATAAAACACCTTTGATCTACAACAGTCGTTAAATACAAGAGTAACCTCAAAGATACTGCATCAATAGGAATAGAAACAACTCTTAAATCTTTGTGTTTTATGCAGTCATCAGTAATGTGTTTATATACAGAGCTGATAATATTTTTAAAAATAAACATAAACTGTAATTAATTTTATAAAATAAGTACAGTTTAGTCAGCATCTCAAAGATATTCACCAGCAGTGAAATAATTTGCCTCAGAGCAGACTCATGCTTTTAGTACATAATAATTGATGGAAGTTCTGGCAAGATGATTGTGATTTCCAGTCTTATCAACTTCAGAATTTTTGTATATAATATGCTATGCTTAGGAATCAGTAACAAGAAGAGCTGTAATTTCCAGCCAGTGAGGCAGAGACATGGTCTACAGTTACAGAGAAATTAAGTCACTTTTAAGACATGAAAGCTGACTAATCTCATCTGTGTTTGAATTAAAGAATTACTAATGGGGTCCAGTTTTAGTTAATTCCATTGGTTACTTCAAGCAGAATTCCAACAATTATAGAGCATCTCCAGTTTTTCTTAATGAGATGCAAGTCCCAATAAGTTTGGGAACTTGGGTTATGTATGATATGCTCTCACACAGAATAATGAGTTCCATACAAGTCTTGATGACTATTGTAGCACTACTTTCATACCATTTTATCACTTGTTCAGCATTGAAACAACTCAGTGCTACATGAACATGTTGCCATTCATGGACAAGAACTACACAAGAAATTTGTTACGCTGAAGTATTTCTGAATTATCAGTGCTAGTGACCTAATTGAATAAGTTATTTCAAGGGAAAAGTAAACCAGTAGCATAAAAGTAAGCCATTAATGTGTCATGACACTGTAAGATGAACCACTGGATACAATTATTTTGAAGTGAAGGTATGACATGTACTATTCATACTCTGTATATGTCTTCATGACATGAGTTATGTTTTTACCTATGAAACATTGTATGTGGGGGGCACGCAGTAGCGTAGTTGGTTGAGGCACCATGCTACAAGCTGGAAGTTCACGGGTTCAAGTCCTGATGACGTGGATTTTTTTCAGTTGACCTAATCCTTCCAGCTGCACTATGGCCCTGGAGTCAACTCAGCCTCGCAGAAATGAGTACCAGGAATCTTCCTGGGGGGTAAAGGGCGGCTGGCACATAACACTGACAACTTTTTTTTATTGCTAGTGGGGTGGAACTAAGTCCCTTGTACTGTGGCCACTTCTGGCCTATTGTACTAGCCCCAGATAGGTGAGGGTGACTGTGGAGCAATTGGTGGAATCAAGATTGACAGGGGAAACCGAAGTACTTGGAGAAAACCGCCCCAGCGCCACTTTGTCCACCATAAATTCCACTTCACCAGACCTGGGATTGAACCCGGGCTGCCGCAATGGGGAGCCAGCAACTAACCACTTGAGCTATGGCGCAGCCTTAAGGCTGACAACATTACTGCCATCTGTGAGCCGATTGTCTAGAAAATGTGGGAACCTCAACATCTCACAACCCTGTGGGCCTTCACGGCCTTTTACAAGGATAGCTTTACCTTACCTGATACTATAATATAATTAGAGGTGTTAGTTCAGGCTCATCATGAAAATACTGAAGTGTATGCATAATAAGATTCCTCACATATATTACATAAGGTGTTGTGTGTTTTTGATGTACACACCTGTAAATGCAGTGCTATAAAGAAAATTATTTCTTTAACCAAATATTCTGTCAAATGGTATACTGAAACTCTTTTTTTCTGGTTTACTTTCGCCTCTGAAATATAGAGTATTCATTCAGTAACTCCAAATATAAACTCACTAGCCATTTTAATATCAGCATTGTTCCATTCAGATTATGAGAGCCAGGCAGCTAAACGCGATATCCATGATATCTGGCAAGATATTAAAGATGTGCAGTATAGCCTGACACATGTGGTGGGAATACCATTTGCAATCAGGGCTTGATTTCTTGAAGATATGCCAATATCAGTGGTCTGATATATCTTTAGCAGGAACAAATAAATCTGATGCAATTCTTAGAATTTATGTAACTGTATTCAAGAATCATAAACAGCATTTTCTTTAAGTATATTCCTATTCCAAAAGTTTAAAAATCAAGCCCTGTAATTTGCTATCACAAAAGATGGAAATACAATATTAACATAAAAGGAAAGTTACTTTTAATTATAAATGTACTTTTTAATATAAAAAGACGCTTTTCTTCGCTTTGCTAAGTTCATGTTGTTTTATGGCTTAATTTTATTTTTTAAATTTTATAAAACATGCAACTTTCCTTCCATGTATTAAGATCTTCTGTGACAAATATTTAAACATCATCGTGATAAGCTTACTATAATTAAATAGTTAAATAAATAGACCATTAAGAGGATGAATACTTAATCATAACAGTCAAAATTAACAGTGAATGTGGGTGAAGTGACAGATCTACAAATGCAGTCCAAATACTGGGTACCCATACAGTACATCCTATGGAAGCACTGGTGTTAGAGGACACTCAATTTGTTGGCCAGATAGAGCAGGTGCAACACTGTGCAAGCCATTGACATCAAGTTGCCAATAGCAATGGACATATGAACCTTACGGAAAGCCTTATGAATTTTTATGTAGTGAGGGCATTTTGCCAGTGGGCCTGGATCATGTCGTCCAACCTCCAGACCAACTCCTGCTGCCTTCTCCATTGCAATCTTGGCTGCAATGAGGCTCAGGAGAGGCGGAGCCAAGTACAGGCGGATCAGTAGCTCCACAAGAAAGCACAGAGCCATAGCACCAACCTGAAACAAGACTGTGACTATGTACATCCTGAAATGTGTTCATTACAGTGTACAAGGACCTGCCAGCTTAATCTGTCAAACCATATATAGTAATTCCCTCTGAATGGATATATGTTAGTGAAATCTAATACACAGTATCCTCCAGATTGATTTGGCAAACAGAAATGTGATTAAAATTGTGTTATATAAGCTCTCTGTTAAGTGTTAGATCCTGTATGCACATGCCTGCCATTCACAGTTTTGCATATGACTTAAAATGGTTAATATAAAAATATATGGTGTGTAAGGCAGCTTGCCCCAACACCTTACATTCTAAACGCATATTTGTACCTTAATAGACAGTGTAGTTTTTGGGACTGTCACAAATTCTACAGCATCACATAGTCATGAATTTCATTTGAATGCAGCTTTATTCTGCAGTAACGTTAATTTTGAAATATGGGATATAAAACTGTTTTGAATTCTAGACAAAATATTAGGAAAAAAGCATACATAAAATGTCATAAAATTCCTTAAATATGCCTTGAAGTTTTTAGTCACCTAAACACCCAGAACATTGCACGTAATACAATGGATTACACCTATGATGTTACTTTTTTAACAAGGCTTATCTGCATTCATTTTCAGTTTATATCATGAAAATATGTTTCATAACCGTTTCATACAGTAATTTTAACTCTGTGATTAGCAATAAGTGGTTCATTTTACTGCTCTCAAGAGAGCAATAGGCTATTCTTCAACATTCATTAGGTCATCATTCTATGGATAAATCTCACAGTACAGTCTGTATGAGTAGAAGGTAAATGTAAAGTTGACCCTGTACTATATTAATGAAACACCATGCCAGAAGATATACGAGGGAGTGGAGGTATAACTCCACTATTCTTGACATCGGCACTAGATGGAAGTGAGCGATCAGCTTCATGCCTTCGTCTCTTTACCCCTATGGTACCCATTGGATAGGGGGATGGGTAGGCCCTATAGCACCTGCCGGGAATTGAACCCCAGCTATCCAGTCCATAGCCCACCGATATTATATAATGACTGAGCTATCCCGGCTCCTTACACATGATATGATTGGGCAGAGAAATGGTACTTTACTCAGCAAACATGGATATTGCACTCTGTAACTTACCTGGAGAGCCACATATGCATCCCATGTACCAGTAGGATGAAGTTTGACAAAAATAACAAGGGTGACAAGGCTCAAGACGCTGTTGAGGCCAAAGTATCGCGGGAATAAAACTTGTTGCACTTCTCCAAATGTGTGACGGGGCACCGCAAAGTACAGTGACAGACCTGCAAATTATAAAAACAGCATGTTGTTATTGTGGTTATGAACTTAAGGTGGAACCACTGCAACTCACACATGTACACTGATGCAGGTGTGTTGCAAGTGCGTGTGCATATACACAAAAATTAGAGACCTAACAGAGGAAGAGTCCACAGTCACAGAAATGAAAACTGAATTGCATTTAATTCCGGGTTCGATTCCTGGCAGGGAAGAGTTTTTTCTCTACTTTAAAGCCCACCCAGCCTTCTAGTGTTGAGTTTAGGATGTATGGAGGCTCCCTCATAATCTTTATGGCGTGGTCTTTAATTAATTACAAAATGGGATAACTTTATCTTCCAGTTTTTGGCTACTGGATGAACAGTAATGTTTGGAGTCCATATATTTCATTTAAATAGAGATAAAACTCTGCTGAAAAAAGAAGACATCAGAATGTGACTCCAGGATACCAAGTGTCAGAGCTTGTTCACATCATTAAGTATACCACTAATCTGTTGCAAATATTATTCTAAATCATCAGTTTCAGACATACTACGGGCATCTTGATATTATTTTCATATAAAAGTAACATGAAAAAGTTAAATAGTTCTGTCCAGTGTGACTGGTTAAGATTTTCTTTTTCAATTATTCATGCCCTTACATATTTCGGTCTTTAGAGACCATCTTCAGAGGGACACCTTTACATCAATACTGTTAGAAGCCACCATTACAGTATATGTTCTAAAAATTAAAATATATACATACAATATAAACAATATACAATTGGCTGTAAAATTTGAAGTCTTTACAACTTCAGCGGCTGTTCCAATACTTTAAAATTTTTATAGTTGGTTTGTTAAGATTCTATTGGAATTTGTAAACCAAGCTGTAGTTGTAAAGACTAGATTTTACAGCCAATTGTATATTGTTTATATTGTATGTATATATTTTAATTGTTAGAACATGTACTGTAATGGTGGCTTCTAACAGTATTGATGTAAAGGTGTCCCTCTGAAGACCGAAATATGTAAGGGCATGAATAATTGAAATAAGAAAATCTTAACCAGTCACACTGGACAGAACTATTTAACTTTATCATAATATTAGTGTGATGGACCTGAATGAAACAAGTAAAAAATGTAATATGGTTTTAATATGTTACCTGAGACAAAAGTCATCCACATTTGAGCTCCAAAGTGCATCATGAAGGCAGACAGGTAGACCAGACTGATGAATGGTGACGGTTTTATAAGAGCATCACTTCTGTTCTTCATTGGATTCAACAGCATTGCAATAATGGTCACTGCAATGAGCATAAGCACGTGTGCTGGCTGTGTTGTTTGAAACAGAATTCTGCAACAGAAACAAAAATCACTTGTTATGTTTTGAGGTTAAGTTACTTTCATATTTGTAGCTGTGTTCAAAATTCACTGAAAAATCAGGTGCGTAAAATAATTCTGTAAGCAAGCACTGCATTAGTTTATTTATATTTTCTACATCATTCACACTGTATCTCTTTAATAAGTACTGAAAGCATAACTGGATTAAAAATTTGGGAATGCTAGAATGGGGGACAGTGTGCATGCCCCATAAACTTTGCGTTTTGACTCCAGTAAACAAATGTTAGGAAAGCAAAACTGTCTTTCCCCACTTATCTCCCATGATATGAGTTAATGCACTCCTTGGTACAGACGTTTTCTTGAAAAGTTTATAAAAAGAGATCATTGCAGAACATTTTAAACTGATAATAAAATTATTTTTATCTTTATATGTAAATAAATTTTCACCTGTGTAATTGAACATTACATATTATATACACTCTTATACAATATTTCATATTCCTTGTAATGAAAGGATATTGCTAGGTAAAAATTTACACCTTATGAACCCCATATATTCTTGTGACATTTCATGTACCATTCCTATTCTGCAAGTAAGTGGCTATGCTTCAAGCTGCAACAGAATATACTTCCACTGACTAACAGCAAGGTTTGACCTTCTTTCTTCATATATTCCTAACTAAGGGAGCCGGGATAGCTCAGTCAGTATAGTGACTGGCTACAAGCCAGAAGACTGTGGGGTTGGAGTCTGAGTTCTGGTAGGGTCAAAAATTTTCTCTCCTCCATGTCATTCAGACCGGCTCTGGGGTCCACCCAACCTCCTATCCAATGGGTAGTGGGGGCTCTTTCGTTGGGATAAGCGGTCGGGGCATGAAACTGACGCTCACCTCCAAACGGTGCCGAGGTCAAGAAAATGTGGATCTATACATCCAATCCCCCATACGTCTTCAAGGCGTAGTGCTTAATTAGTTAAGCAGAGGGACAACTTTACCTTTATAAATTTCTAACTACAATAATGGATAAGCATGCAACAGTGAAAGCTGGGAGACGTTTGTATGGATACGTTTTTATGAATTAAAGCCGAGGAAGTCCATTACAGTCTAACCTCTACAGCAAATAAAGACACATACTGAATGGAAGTGACGTATTTTGAACCTTTACTATTTTTTTTTTCTCACGGCATAAGCAAGGTTACTGACGTCATAGCAACGGTTACCGACGTCCCCCAGCAACCGCATGTTGCTGGCCAGCACGTAGCATGAAAGATGAGGCAACTACAGCAAAATCAGCCATCAGAGACAACAAAACTTCGCATATACGAACCGTGATTTCATGTCCCACGCTCTCATTTCACTTCCGGTTTTGTAATACGAAAGTCTAATATGGAAGTGTGTTATAATTGAGGTTTTATTGTAAGTACTGCACATAATTGTTACCCGTTTTTATTGTTTTTGATACTACAGTAATCGGTGTGTCTGAACATCAGAATTTGATGTCCTGCAAAATAGACATACTGAGAATAATAGATATTGATAACATTATTTACGCTCTTACGGTTATTGTAAATGGTGCTCGATGTGTTGGGGTCCAATTCCGTTCATTAATTTCTTCCTACTACCTATTCCAGCGCAATCAACATTATTCTTGCCTGTATACTCGCTTCTGTATCAATCGTGTGGAATGAAAACGTTAGAATGTATGTCTTAAATTTATAATTACGGCATATGGAGATCGTACGCAAAAGCTATCGTGTAGTCTAATACTTTCTCTGTTCCTCTGTTCCTAAAAGACTGTTTTCGAATGATGTTATCGGCATATACAATTTTTCGTGCCGAACGTGGTGCATATTTTATTATATCCGAGTCCTAATCCCTACATCGAAAATGTTCTAAATGACAATTCTGCAGTAGTAGGTAAATGTCCTCTAAACGTTTCGTGATATAATGACGTAATGGAAAATAATATATCAACCTTTTTTATATCAAAATTGACTTAATATAACCACCAGATCTGATTTCAAATTTTAGAGATCATAACAAAAATATTATTGAAAATTATAATGTATTTTCAAATCAGCCTGCTTCCAAAACTTTTGACAGACACTAAGATTCATGACCTACGTTTCAACTACAGGGCAATCTGCAATATGTGCAGCTTAACTTAAAAAGTACTTATAAGATTTCGTAAATTTCGAAGGGGGAAAAATACCATCTTTTCTTTAAATACTTTGAACGAAATGTATAATGTCTAGTAGAACTAAAACGAAATATAACATTTTTTGCCAAAAAATAAATGGGCCCTGCTAGACTAATTTATTAGTCTCCACAGAAAACAGTGTGTGCTCCACGTGTGGTACTTATTTTTCAGACAGGACCTTTTTAAACATCCCTTTCAAATCCCATTGTATATTGGTGCATTTTAAATACATTATTTTTCGCTTTCTTTCTTACTTGTAGGGTTTTGACTGCTGCCACTTTCCAAAGCGGTCGTACAAGGCCCAAACCATGACACGTTGTTTCTCCGTTACTATTGCCAGAATGTCTCTGTAGAATGTGGAGTTGGTCTCCGGATGTTTACATACTTCTTGCATTGTAGCGACGTGGCTACTGACCTCGGTCTGTTCCTGCGTCGCGTGCCTCACTTGAGTGACCCCTTGTGACTGCATTTTGTTCTCCTGAACAGCCCTGATGTCTGTTTCTTCACCACTTGTCGATCGAGCACACATCTCTTTTACGCTTGAAAGTTACAGCTTGTCACAAAATCACTTGTCACTATATCCCTTCTAGTTGTTTCCCACGCTGCTAACTATCGACGCTGAGACAGGCGAGAAACACCTAATTCGGAACAGTTCGGTTGGGTTGTGTTAGAAACCTAAATTAAAGAATTATTCAAGAAACTCGTGCAAATTTCAGCTCTGCGTTGAGCTGCCACCTACAAAGAATCAAGACCGATTACTTCTGACTCCCAACGCCACCTATCACATAACTGCGAATGCACTGTGGACTGGCGCCCGAGCTGCCTAATATATCTGTCCGTTTCCCCCACTACTTCACAGGCAATGACGGCCAGCAACCGGCGGTACGCTATCTTATCACTAAGCTTCAGGCCTGTGCTGTTCATTATTGCACAGTTAGCAATAAATGGTCGCAGGTGAGAGAATGTATGCTGTGCTTTCAAATTCGTTTGATTTCCCCAGGTGTGTGCAATAAAATTAATTTTGGAAGCTGAAAGACACGCGAACTGGACTGCAAATCTAATTATGGGCACTTTGCAGCGAAAGTGCCGGTTCGTCCCCAAACGTCAGGCGAAGTCAATGATTCTGCCTCATAAAACGCGCAGGTAGTTATGAGTTCGAAGCCTGACTTCATTGTACTGGGAGGACAATGATAGTTTTAATAGAAGTTCCTATCAGGACGTGGGAAGGATCAGCTAAGGGGAAACTTACGCCACGAGGAGCATTACAAATGGCTCCACGTGTTATATATAGTATTCTTAATGTGTTCACACCAAGCAGGTTGCTACGCGCGTAACGTGTAACTCTGTTTGAGGGAATAAGTGTGTAGACCTATTGTTTTACTTAGTGAATTTCTGGAAATAAAACACTAGCTTTACCGAGGCATAGATGGTAAGATAATATGAAATATGATTTATATGGATTTGATTGAACTAGTTTAGAAACCAGTTCAATTGTATGCTTTTTTGATGACGGCGATGAACTTTCGGGTTGAGTAACAACTAGAAATGAGGAAACACACCGCGGTTGGTTACTGCAGAGCGAGTGAACCAATGGCAGCGTAGCACTTCGAAATAGGCAACACATTCACACCGAAAACAGAACTTTAAAACCCTCAGATGATGTGTGACACGCAAAACAACAGACTGGCTTGTAATAAAAGGTAGGCCAATAAGCCTACCTGTGTGTGATATTCGGGATGAATTTCTTGCCGTCCAGACTGGTTTTTCAGTAAATGTACGGTACTAAGTTTTCGAGGAAAAGCCGAGGTATGACAACTTGTGGCATTCTCAAACCTCACCACTATGTGGGGGGGGGGGGGGTCAGCTCTGGTCTTTGGACCATAGATGACTTACTGCGTGTAATTTCTATGTGCGGACCACCCAACTGTTGAATGAAAAAAAAAAAACTCCGTGGCCTGTAATCCACAAGCGAACTATACCGACCGAGCCACCGCCGCTTGTCCGCGAAGTTAGTGCCAACTTTAGCGGATAGAGGATGTTCCATGGTCAGCGCAAAGAATCCCCACGGCCGTTAATTGCGGTTTTCTAGACCGGAGCCGCTATTTCCTTCAAATACGTAGTTCCTCAGATATGATCGCGAGGCTGAGTGGACCCCGCTCCAGGCCTACTTCTCAGAAAAAAAAAATCTGGTAGCGCCGAGAATCGAACCCGGACCTCTGGATCTGTAACCAGGAACTCTCAGTACTAGACCACCGAGGCGGTTTGAATGAAATATTTTTAGAAATTTGAATGGAATGAGAGTGAAATGTTGTTAGTAGTTCCGCCAATATGACTTTCAAAGTGAAAATAATATTAAATATTGCAATGCAAATCACGTGTTTATGTGTGCATAAATAGAAGACCTTGACATTGAACGTGATAGCGGATCTCTTGAATTTTTGTCATGGACCTCTGAATTTCCGCCGACCATGCGTTTGGGAAACTCTGAACTACACGATCAAACTCGTGGCATGATGCAAGCAACCCACAATATTACAAAGTGAATTTATTACTAAAGACAGTAGTTCATTAGGATTTTAATAATCGAGTCTATTTCTTATTAAAATAAAACTTACAGACACAACTTTCCTTAAAATGTTTTATAAATATATGAAATTAATTTTCTGTTGAAACTGTTTCTTCAATTGTAGCTGTTTGCTTTACATATCCCAGGGTTGTAACTTCTTTGCTATGATTTTGGCGAGCTGTCTCGTCTGTGTTCAGATTCTGTGCCTTTCACGGTACAAACATAAATAGGCCTGTGTTAACATACTGTGCCAGCCTAGAGATTTAGGTTTATGTTCTAACTTTCACCGGAACAGTGGATTTCGGTGTGAAATAACATTTTCACTTAATATTTTTCTCGCATGTACAGGCTTCTCCTTGTTCTAACCTCAGAGCAGTATAATAAGACCGGAAGGAGCTAGTCTTTGTTCTCCAAATAACTTGGCAAAGATGTATGAGCAATTTCTGTACTTCTTGTAGGTTTTCCCAAAGTGGGTGCGACCGGTTCGGTGAGCTGCTTCGTTGTAATTCCGTTGTTACATGGTTAGCAATTTATTCCGTGGAACCTGCTGCTAGTTGCAGTGGTCAACGCGTTTCCCAAGTCAAGATATCTCTGGATTTCAGATATACTTATTTCTGTGGCGTCATCGGTGATGAACCGGTTTTGTTTCTTGAAGAGAAACTGCTTTCTTGTGTGTATAAATGCAAATAATCAACAAGGACATATGTCATGGTTTGAACTTTAGATGTTATATCGTGCTGTTGATTTATGGTTTATTCAGGGCGGTTTTTCCAGTTGTGAGTTCATCGGGGCCATTAAAATGTGGAGGCTCCTACCAATGACAATAAAATTAGGTTACGACTGTGTTTTCTTTTGTTCGTGTTTCTTATAATAACTAAAAATACGCACTAATTTTTCGTGGTTATATAGAAACAAATGTCTCTGTAAAACATGTGGATTCTATTTTTGTTTGTGGTTGAGGCCCCAGGATTACCGTGTTATGAGTCCTGTCAAACTCAACCTCCTTCATTTACGATTTTTCAGAACAATAAGTGCAAATTACTAATTTTTCTGCCGCTGGTAAGTCTCTTACGGGTCTAAGTAATCATCTTAGTAGAGTTCATCCTTTCATTAGAGTTGGAGGCTAGATTTCACATAAAACAATGGTAGATATAGATTCTTCTGGTGGGAATTGCAAGTAGAGCTCCTCTTATTCTTAACCTTGGCATTAGGTGGAGGTGAATGGGCAACTTAACGCTCTCTCAGTTTTATCCATTGAATACGGTTGGGCCTCACAACTGGTGTGTACATTGTGGTGAAGAACTTATTCAACTTTGAAGTTCCAAAATTTTCAGAAATAAATTTGTGAAATGAACGAAAGCGTGTGAGGTTAGATGTTCTCGCGGCGATTATTATGAAGATGGCTTCCTTCTTGGATGTTACGCCGTATGGTATTATACCCTGAAGATGGAGGTGGCAGGCTGCTCCGAAACGTCGATAACGATCTAATAGTATTTACGGCGTTACATCCAAGAATATAGTAATCTGAATTAAAGCATGCTAAGGATTGCTGTTTAGTGTTCTGTGACTTTGGCCTATATGTAAAGCCACGTTGTGTAACTTCATGTGGTGGCATTAGCCGATGATGAATTCGACCTTCCTTTATGCATCTCCTGAAGTGGTTTCAGCACACAGTGCTCGAAGGAGACCTCACAAGAGTTCTGAATCTGTCTATGGAGTGCTGACACGAACTCATTAGGTACAGTAAATTCATTTGTTGGTGGAATTCTCAGTGAGGACACGTGTCTCCTCCTGCGAGTTCTTGTCATCCGCTCGCCACTCGTGGCGGTAATGTTATAAATGCACACATGTTTGAGATATGTCTTAGGGATATTTCACGTCATTTTCTGAAAACGTATCAATACGAACCTGTTGTAACTTTCAGGTTTAGTTCAGTATTGCCACAAACTAAAATCAAATTAGCACAGCGAGCGAAATGGAGAACACAAAGATCTTATTATTATATTATTATAAATGAATTCAACAATATTCACCCTAATATAAAATTCACAATATAATAAGAAACAAATAATAAGATCAATTTCTTAGATTTATCCATCGAAAAACACACGGAAACCTACAACTACTGATCTAGTCATCCACAATGATTTATGTCACCCATTTGAACACAAAAAAAAATGCTATATATTTTCTCATTGATCGGTTGAATCAATATACCCTTTCGCATAACAATAAAAACATAGAAGAAAACATTGTTAGAACTATTTAAAATAATAATAATAACTACCCACTAAATACCATACGACTAACACAAAAACTTTCCACAAAAAAATACTACGCTGAAAAATAAATGGGCCACCTTTACCTATTTTGGTCATGAAATCAGATCCATTACTAAACTTTTCAAGAATACAGAGGTTAGTATCTCATATAAGACAAAAGCAATATAAAACATCTGTTGAAAGTAAATGATGACAAAAATGATACGTATAATCTTAGTGGGGTTTACCAACTACAATGTTCTGACTGTCCAAAAAATATATAGGACAGACCGGACGTACCTTTAAGGTCAGATTCAGAGAACACATACGAGACATAAAAAATAACGGACAAAGCTCCAAACTTGCTCAACATATATTAGACACCACACACGAATATAGTACGATAGACAAAACATTGGAAGTTCTATATATCGGCAACAAAGGCCGAACCTTGGATACATATGAAAATTTTCACATTTACGAAATCAGCAAACTAAATTTGCAACTGAATGATAATTTTACCGAAATGTTTAACCTTATATATGATGTAATAATTGATACATGCAAAACATAATATACAGTTATACCACCTCCACCCTACCTTCACTTCCACATACACCTTATCTCTACCTCCCCCCCTCCCTCCCTTGCAATGACTTCAATCTTACATCACCAAATCAGTCGTTGTTTACATTCCCTACAGTACGGACAATACTATGTAAGATGAGGCACCGACTAAACAGTAAGTAATATACACTATATCTTCAATATCAAAATCAATTGTTGATTATAACAAAATTTAATACTAATGCCTCCTATTTTTTTAATGAAAACTACAACAGATACAGAAAGCATAATAACGCAGTTAAATAGAGCAAGATTTCAGCTACTTGCAGTTATTTTTCCACATAATCACCACCATTCGTTGTGCACTTTTGCCAGCGATGAACAAGAGCCTGTATGCCGCGCCCGTAAACGTCTGCG